TAACTGTATTACACATCATCCATATGCTGCCAGAATACTATAGGTTTTAAAAATTTCATCAGCAAGGATAGGTGGTCAAAATATACTATTTGGGATGAAAAGCCAGTTGACAAAACAGTATGATTAGCACCCTTGCTTTTGTATTAAAAAAAAACACAAACAAAAACAATCCTGGAAGACGGAGTCCAAGTTCACTAGTGGTACATGGGTGTTTCTGTTTTAAACTCTTTGCTTATTAGTATTTGTTACTTTCCCACCAATGAGAATAGATTACTTGTGTAGTGAGAGAACATTTAAATTAAAGAGACTAATTAAAAAGAAAAGAATACATGAAGGCTGTCATAGTCTTCTTAATAGTTGCCCTGGGTACACAGAGGGGCACAAGGCAGACATGGCCCTCTCGTAGCTTATGGTCACATAGGGCAGGCTGACCAAACAGGCATGCCCCCAAATTTTAGGTTGTACCATATGAAATTACCAATGTTTGACTGTCTCTGACCTACAAAGATGGCAATTTCATATGATTCAAGCTAATTTAATTGCAAATCTAAGCCCCTTGAAGAAACCACGAAGATGTCATGACGGCCACCTTCATGGAAACCTGCCTTTAGTTAAGGATGGCTCAAAATTCAGTGCCTGATGACTGCTTGTGTCTCGATCCTTGCGAGCCTGCAGCGACAGGCAGAAGTGGGTGTTGGATCCACGCTTATGTCCCAAGAATGATGTCCAGTCAGGGGTTCTTTGTCTCTGCCCACCCAGCCTGTCTGACCTCCACTTCCTTGTTTCTCCTAGTTCCTTTTCTGTCACTCCTCCCAGCCCTTCCCACCCTCTCAGCCTGTTCTGGGAGCCCTCGGACCTCCCACTGGCCTCCCATCAGCCCACCCCTGCCACACAGGGCAGGTAGAAAGAGCCAGGTCCCAGCACTTGGTGGGGACTGTCCCTGTGAGCCTGCACTGGGATCCCTCGTCCCTTGGCCTCAGTGCTGATGCAGTCAGCCAACACCCGACGTGTGGGCACTCTTTGCAGCCTGCCTCACCCCAGCCATATGCTGCAGGATAAATCGCAGGGCAGTGATGGTGGGTTTCAGCCCCTGGTCAGCGTGTATGAGGTGAGGGATCAGGTCCCAGAGATGCTTGTCTCTACAGAAGCCACCATAATGCCCAGATCCTGAGTTTTTCCATCAGCCCACACCACCTCTAACTCCAACACCAGACCTGGCAGGGAATCTTGCTTCTGCAGAGTAGGGCAAAGTGTAGAAATGGAGGGGGTGCTGGTTGGGACTCAGATTTAAATCTGGGGTGCCCCTGAGGGCTTCTGAGTGCATCTTAGGGAAGCTGAAAGCCTCCCAGTGGGGCTCAGGGCTGGGGAACACGTGGATAATAAAGGAGGCAGCTCTCAGGCGCAGGTGTGGTGGCAGAGGAACGAGACGGAGCCATGACTGCTCAAATCCCAGCTGGCCTGGAATGCGCCCCCTCACCTTCCCGGGCATAGCTCTCCCAGGTGGAAACCAGGGATGAGAACTGAGTGAGCTGCTGGTACCAACTTCCAGGCACACAGCAAGCCTCGGAAAACATGCGTCCCTCACTCCCCCTTGGCCCGTCTCAGGGGTTTGTCATCACTTACTTTGGAGTCAGCAAAAACATATTCCTTCCGCAGGGTCTTCTCCTTCTCTGTTTCCACCAAAATCACCAACTTGTTCAGAAACTTCTGAGACTTGATGAGCTGCAGGACTTAAGAGGAATAGAAGAAGTTCAGTTTTCTCATTCATCCTTCAATACATCCAGAGTCTGCACTATAAGCTGGCACCTGACCATCAACAATGCTGACTTCCCCGTCTCCAGGCTGAGCACCAAATTTGCGCCCGGTCTCCCAGATCCTTGCTCCTGGCTGCTTTTCTGAGGAAGAGCTCATGCTGGCGTGAGTGGGACCTGGAACGGGAAGAGGTGGCCTGGCCCGAGCAGGAGAGCGTGACTGTCTGTCTTTCCATCTCCCTCCCTGTCTCCCTCCTTCCTTCTCTCTCTCCTCCTTCTCCTCCTTCCTACCTTCTTTCTTTCCTTTCCTTTTCTCTCTTCCTTCTTTTGTTTTGTTTTTAATTTATATCTAAATGAAAATTTAAACATTTTTACTTCTAACAACAATTGAAAGACTCAAATTGTTCTACAAGATTTTTACAAACAATAGTACTCTTCAGTCCCACCTCCCTCCAAGGTCCTGCTCCCTAGAGGCAACCACTTTCAATTCTCTTAATGGATCCTTTTGGAATTCTATCTCAGGTCTCTAAATAACAGGCTACTCTTGCTAACTTCCTGGTGTTGCAGTTTTAGGTATTTCCTATTATACAATGAATTCCCACTATGAAAGATGAAGGTTTAGCTCTCTTTCACATGTACAACCTGTACCCACCTCACTGCTCCCCTCTCCCCCCGCCAAGGTATCATTTCAGTCCTGCCATCATCCTTCCAATAATTATATCATCATTTTGGCCAGGTAGGCATTCAGGGTTTATTATGACTCTGGAAATGCTCTTGACAGACAAGCCCTGGTTGCTTTCTTTTTCCTGCATGACTTTGTTTTTCCTGGAGTGAATAGTTGTCATGTTTTTTCTCTGGTCCTAACCCTCTCAGTTTGTAACTTTCTTTTCAATGTGATCAAGCACTTCCATCAGGTTTAGCATCCTGGGGGAGCCTCTCCCAGAGCCACTGGGCTTCTCTTCTCCAGACTGGTGACTTCCAGGCCTGATGCAGACCCATTACTCTAGGTCCCTCCCTCTCCATCACCTGGGAAGCCATTCACCTCTGTCTGTCTCATATTGGATCCTGTTTCTTGGACTCCATGCTTCCTCTTCCTTGATTTATGCCTTCATTTTGGTAGAACAACATCCCTAGTAGCCTTCCAAGAAAGAGGGAATGGGTGATACATTCTTGGAGGCTTTGCATGTCTGAAAATTCTACCTCGCACTTCACTGACACAACTCTAAGTTAGGAATAATTTTCCTCAGGACCCTGGAGACCTTGCTCCATCTCAGCACAGCTGCTGAGAAACACAATGTCATTCTGATCTGCCTGCACGCAGAAAAGTTCCCACGGCAGGCCTGGCTACTATCCTTGGAAAGGCTGCTTGCAAGGTGGCCCTGGATTGGCATCTGGGAACCTGGATTTGGGGAGGGTTCCCAGCATCCCCTGAGCTAAGAGCAGCTCACTGTGCCTGCACTGTTTGTACAGTGTGGTTCATGCTGAATACTTGCTTTCCTCCTGGGAGTCTGGAATTTGGGAGTGTGCCAGGCAGAAAGTGCCTTCATGACCAGCCCCCAGGAAAATCCCTAGAGTTGTCCCTGACAAGCGCCCCTGGTAGATACATTTCACAGGTGTCGTCACAACACAGCAGGGAGGAATGAAGCCCAGCCGGTGTGACTCCACAGGGAGAGGACTCCTGGAAGCTCGCGCCTGGTCTCCCCTGGACTTCACCCCGGCCGCCTCTTCCCTGTGCTGGCTGTGCTGTTCTCTTCACTGCAATACATCACAGCTGTACGACTCTGTGCCGAGTCCTGAGGGTTTCCCTGGAGAATCACTGAACCTGGAGGTGGTCTTGGGGAACCCTGGCACAGCCTGTGATCCATCTTTGGCTTTGAAGTTCTCAGGATCTTTTCTTGGAATCCAGTGTTGAGACTTTCCAGGGCTGTGTGTGCTGGACACTTGGTGGGCTATTTTCAACCTGGAAACCGGTGTTTTTCCGTCCTGAGAATTTTTCTTGAATTGTTTCTTTAATGAGTTTTCTGTTACCCTGTTTTCTCTTACTGACACTTACTATGCTGGTATTGGACCTCCTGGACGGGTCTTCTTTTTTTTTAATAAAGTCTTAAAAAAAATGTCTTTTTTACTTTATTACTGTTTGTTTGTTTTGGGAGGTAATTACGTTTATTTATTTATTTTTAATGGAGGTACTGGGGAGTGAGCTATGTATGCATTCTACCACTGAGCTATACCCTCCCCCCCGGATTGGTCTTCTCATTTGAAAAAATCTCTTCTTTCCTATTTCTCTTCACTTCATCCTTTTGTTCTACCTTCTGGGAGCTTTCCTCAACTTTATCTTTGCACCCTTCCTTTGAGATTTTATTTTAAAAAATTTCTGCTATAATAGGTTTTTCTTTTTTCTTGCCTTCCTCCTCCTTCTGCCCCTTTCCTCCTTTTTCTTCATTTTTATTTTGTTCTCTGAATGTTCCTTTAATAGCATTCTGTCCTTGTTTCATGGTCCAGTTTCTTTTAACCATCATAATTTGTTTCCTCCAAGTTTTTTTGTCTTTTTGCCTATTTTTGCCTTAAGCCTCACTGTCTCCAATTCTTGGCTTCCCTCCAATGCCCGGTGACCCTCGGCTGTGGGTCCCAACGGTGACAGTGGGGGACTGTCCAGCAAGGCTTCTCCACTGGGTGGTCTCTTGCGCTGATTCCTGGGGAATCTCTTAATGGCAGTGTCTTTAGATTTTTGTTCCAAGGCTCATCACGTGGTCCAGAGAAGACTCTTCCAACCTAACCTCCTGCCTACATGGTGTGGGCCTGGCTGGCTGGGCCGGGATGAAAGCCGGGGTCTCAGCATTCAGAAGTGACTCTTAGTGCTCTGTTTCAGTATGTTCCTCTGCCCTCACCAAGTGTTTCCCAGTTCTTTACCTTAGACAGAGAATAAGCCTCAGGTCTTCTGTCTAACATGTTCAAGGAAGCAACGGGCTGTGTGGAATGGACACGGATCTGTTGGGTCTAACTCTCTCAAGAAGATTTTCATCCAATCCTACTGTTTAAAACCCCAGCTTTACCCCCGCCCCAGGGCCCCTGATGCTGCCGGCTCCTGTGCCCTCTGTGGTTCCGCGGTGTGAGTCAGGTGTCTCAGCTTTTCCGATGACATACTTAAAATTTAGCTTCTTTGGTTCTTCAAGTTGGTTACGGTCATCCATCTGCTTCCCAGAATTCAGAACTTTGCTGCTGTCATTCTCTCTCCTGTTCTCTTTGTCCCTGTGAGCTCTGCCTTTACGAAGGGAACTGACAATAGTGTGTGTGTCCAAACATCATTCTTTTTTTTTTAGTTGAAGTACAGCAAATTACAATGTATCAGTCTCCAGTGTAGAGCACAATGTCCCAGTCATGCATATACACACATATATTCATTTTCATATTTTTTCCATTAAAAGTTATTATAAGATATTGAACATAGTTCCCTGTGCTATACAAAAGAAACTTTTAACAAATCTATTTTTATATTTAATGATTAACATTTGTAAATCTCAAACTCCCAAATTTATCCCTTCTTACTCTGTTTCCCTGGTAACCATAAGATTGTTTACTAAGTCTGAGAGTCTGTTTCTGTTTCATAGATGAGTTCATAGTGTCCTTTTTTCTTTCTTAGATTTCACATATGAGTGATATCATATAGTATTTCTCTTTCTCTTTCTGGCTTACTTCACTTAGAATGACAATCTCTAGGTCGATCCATGTTGCTGCAAATGGTATTCTTTTTTCTTTTTTGTGGCAGAGTCATATTCCATTGTATAAATATACCACAACTTCTTTATCACAGTCATCTGTTGATGGACATTTAGGTTGTTTCCATGTCTTGGCTACTGTATACAGTGATGCTATGAACATTGGGGTGCATGTATCTTTTCACATTAGAGTTCCCTCTAGATATACGCCCAGAAGGGGGATTGCTGGATCATACGGTAAGTCTATTTTTAGTTTTTTGAGGAATCTCCACACTGTTTTCCATAATGGCTACACCAAACTGCATTCCCACCAGCGGTGTAGGAGGGTTTCCTTTTCTCCACACCCTCTCCAGCATTTATCGTTTGTGAACTTTTGAATGATGGCCATTCTGACTGGTATGAGGTGATACCTCATTGTAGTTTTGATTTGCATTTCTCTGATAATTAGCCAAACACCATCTTAAGCTAGAAGTCTCCCTCCAGGGAACCCATAGAGGTCCCGTGCTCTCAGAAGTCCCATTAGCCTTGTCAGCAGCAGTCCATGTCCCCCAGCGTGACTCCTATCAGTCCACCTGGCATGCCCCAACTTTTCCAAATCTGCTGCTCCTAGGCTAGGCCTCCTTCCTTCTGAATTTCTGGTTTTCCTTCCCATCCGTTTGCAGGGCTATGTGGCTGCCCCCAGGATGGGGCATCTTGCCTGTGCAGGATTAGTATTTTTAACAGTATTACTGGTATTACCTGTGTCAGTAAGTGGCCCACTTGCCCCTACATCTAGTTAAATAAAAGTAGAATCTTCTTGGCTCCACTCCCCCTTCCCTGTCTACAGCTCATCCATCAGCACGTATGAGAAAGTTCTACCTCTAGACCATTTGCCATCTGTCCCTCTTTCCCCAACTCAAGCCGCCACTACCTCTTGTCTGGCTACTGTCACGGTCCCCTAATTGGTCTCCCTGTCTCTGCCTGCCCCCTGCCATAATTTATCCTCAGCACAGCAGCCAGAGTCCATTTTAAAGGGGGAATCACACTATTCCCCTGGTTAAAACCTCCTAAAAGTGCCTCATTGTACTTAGAACGTACCCCTGGCTCATCAAACCACTGAGACTGATGCCCAATCTCTGTGCCATCTCTGCGCCATCTCTGCTCTAGCCACCCTGCCTCCTCACACGCCAAGCTTGCTCTCCCGACCCCGGAAGCTCTGCCCAAGAGCCTCTTTCCCTGGGTTTCTCATGGCCAGCGCCTTCTTGACACTCAGGCGTCAGCTCA